CCCCCCGAGGCGTCGTTCGACGGGCGACTACTTAACAAGATCTCCATTGTAACGTGAATGTAAATCGCGTCTTCTTCGATCGCCCACGCGAGCGTCAAGTGCTCAACATCGATATCGACGGTGTCTCGACAGCGATTAACACTCCGTCTACAGGATGATGCAAAATCTCCCATTTTTTTTCCTTTTTTTTTTTTTACCTTAACCACGGGTCCTTCCTGACAAATTTCCGGTGAATTCGTGCTTATAACATCGTGCATATATTTGTCTTAATTTAGATGATTGAACAAAGTTATAGGAAAGTCTGAGACGCTTTATACGTCTCTCTGAAACCTATCCCGCGCATTAGCGTCGTCCAGGGAATGAGAGGGCGCTTCGGGACTGCCGTTTGTTCGCCGCGGTTGTAACAGGACGTAAAATAACCGGTGGCCGAACTTCCGGTCGCACTCGCGAAGAGATGAAACCAAATCCGCTCGAATTTGTGGAAGCTCCCCGCGGGCACCGCGAGCGATAAAGTTTCCTCGTCGAGTCTCGCCTCGGAAGTTGAGTTCTACGGCGGACCGACGGGAGTGCGTGCATATGTCTCACTTCCGCCGTGTTACACACCGCGCTCTCCTGAGCATCTGGAGGGAACGGTGTAAGCACTTAAATCGAAAAATATGGGTCTTGCACAAAGTGTTTTCCTACGTCAGAGGCAGCGAGATAGAGAGAGAGAGAGAGAGAGGCCTCTCGTTATCACTGGCGTCATTCGGGTGGGTGTATTTAAAGCCGCGTGGCTTGCGTACAGACTTGCGTTTTACGCACGAGCTACCTTTAGCCGGCTCTAAATCACTTCGTCCGCGGGCTCTCGCGCGAGCTCTTCCCCGAGACCGGCCGAATCTAACTCGCCCCGTCGTCCCCTCCTCTTGCAGATGATAGAGACTGAGTGTTTTAAGGAGCTGAACGTATTAGGCCCTAACAACACGCCCACTCCGGACTTACTGATAAACCATCCGCCGCCCAACAACGAGGACAGAGGCTGCTTTCCGTTCCGGAGAAAGGTAATTTTCTCTCGCAAAACCCTCCATCTCTCCCCTTCCCTTTTCATCCCCTTCGTCCTTTTCTCCGCGGCATTAAGTCGACGTGTTTCGGACCGACCAGCCGAGATTCCGATCTCGAGAGAACGTCTGAGAGGGACCTCCGAGGGGCACCGAAAATACGTCGCAGGTATCTCGGGAAGCGGTTCGTCGCCTCGGGAGACCGGCGATGGCGACCGGCGCCCCGCGACGCAAAAACGACCGGCCGGTTTAACGCGAGACCGCAGACGAGACTCGTTTAGTCTGACGCTCCTTCTAATCGGATTTGTAATTTCGTTGCGTAGAGAAAGCAGAGCGCCCGCACGAGGGAGATCCCGTTGTCGGAGTGCCACCTGTTGGAGCTGTCGCAGACGCAGAGCTCGGAGATGCCGGCCAGCTGATCCAGGGTGAACGCGAATAGCCTGAATCGATCGACGTCGTCGCCGTTTCGGGGCTGCTGCCGCGGTTGAGACGACGACGATGATGATGATGATGATGATGATGACGCGTCCAGGTGCCCAGGAACGCCCTGAGTCCTCGGCAACCGTATGAACGCGGCTGCCCGTTTGACGAACGGGAGAGACGGACCCGAAGTGTCCCGCTGTCCCGGTGACCGCGCGTGGTACCGCTCTCGAGCGTCTTCCTCGAGAGGTTCACGAGGGGGAGAGAAAGAGAGAGAGAGAGAGGTACTCGTGCCGAGGATCCGAGGGATTCGCGCGCGATTTCACACGCACGCACGCACTCGCTTGCAAAACGGACGCCGCAATGAAGCCGGGAGCAAAACGTCAGGATTGAGAGCTACTATCGACTCTGCACGACGGCAGTCACGAAGGGCCGGTACAGTCGGTGTCACCGTGTACGCTCTGCCATCCCCCGGCCTGAATGTTACACGATACTCTTCGGTTTGATGGGTAACTTATCACACGAGGAATTGAAAATCGCCGAAGGAAACTCGAATTCAAACGATAGGGTCGTAATGGCTCTAATTACAACGGTTTCCACCTCGCATAGTGTATCTGAAATCCTGCAATTTGCGATCCAGCGGATGGTACAGCGCGCACACACAACGCCGACTGTGCGGAGTGTGGGAATCAATATGATCAAGGTAACGTGACAGTATGTCAATACACTCGCGACTGTGCTGTGTGTACGGTTTAACACGCCGAGTGCCGTGCTGATTTCCACTGATCGCGCAAACCGACGTCTAACTGACGATGATCGAGCCACTCCAAAAGGGTACGGTGAGTGATGAGCGAACGTAATTCAGGGTACACGCGTCTCTCTCGCCTCGTTTCACCACGTTGCTTTCTTATCTGTCGTGCGTACCGCCTGTTTCGTGATCAGTCATATTTCGCAACGCGACTTAACGCGCGGAACGCGGTAATATCGCAGTGATAGGTGACCGGTACGGCATTCAACGTGTTAACCTGCTTGCGACGTCGATGTTGGAGGAATTCAAAGGAATCCTGCTTCAAGGATGCCCAGGCTCCAGTCGTGATCGATGACTGGAGCTGGTCGGTAGTCCGACTCTCGAGATCGTCAACGGTTCGCTCCCGACTTCGTTCAACCGTTCTGCAACCAAGTGTACACCTTATTACCTAACGCATCAACATTCACATACACGCACACACACGCACACAGAATCCAGTATTGTAATCGTACATCGCAGCGAGGTGGCAGGCACACGTTCGTAAAACCAAATATAACTTCCCGACCGGTCGAACGCGGGAACTCGCGGTGTGCTCGCGCGTGTATCGAGGCGTATTTCATCGAGCCGCGACGTGTCGTCGCTCGCTCGCTCGTACGTCACGGACGGCGTAGATTAGTAGATAAGTAGATAGGTAGTAGGTAGGTGTTGTTCGCGAGAGACGCTTACGAGAGCGCGCAACTTTTCGACGAGGCGAAGCGTACGCAAGGGGAATCTCGCGAATCCGCTGGAACTGCGCTAGAAGAGGCTGAGAGGGGGAGGGAGGAACGTGTTGTTTCCAATTGACGAAGCGCTCGAAATCCCGGTGGTCTCGAGAGCTCGAGTTGAGAATGAACGCGCGCGCCTATGCAGATAGGTCGACACGGGTGGTCTATTCGCGCGCGCAATCGCTCGGGCGACCACCTTTTAGCACGTACTTATGAAATCTCGTCAATTCACGTTCCCCCGCCGATCTCGATCCCGATCAGATCCTTTCCAGCGTCGCTCTCGTCTCTCAGTGATGCACAAGTCGTCCCGTCGAGAGAGAGAAGGAGAGGAAGTTGCGTTTGACGCGTGGCCAAGAGAGGGAAGTCGCGAGTGCACCTCGCGATTTGATCTTGTCTCCGCCTCTGGCGCGCTATGTACCCTCCGGAAGTGGATAATTCCCTCGATCGGCCGGCGAACTCCCGGCGGTAAAATCTCGGGACGATCTCGCCCGCGAGCACGCAGTTTCCGTCTCGTCGTCGACGAGAGCCGACGATGGCGCCGGCATTCGTAGTCAGATCTTGCATCGAAGATCGTCTCGAGACGATCGGGACGATTTGAAATGTAAGACTTGACCGAGTACCGGCCGATATTGCGTCTTCCGAAGCGTAACGGCGCCGTGCAAACGGAAAAGACACAGTGGGCAAGTAACCAACCATCGGAACGGACTCGTCAGAAATTCGAACACTGTATTTCAGACAATTATCACTTTCTGCCGGAAGTTTGCCGTAGTGATGAATATTAAACAAAACAATGTCACGGGTAACTTATATTGCTCTAATGTAATCATATTGTATCGTGTGTGTGTGTGTGTGTGTGTGTGTTCACACCAGTTCGTCGCGGTCTCAAATGGCCGGATTCCCCGTGAAGCACATTTCACGAAAACAGGGAGGGAATTATAGCTTCGAACTAATTATAACTTTTGCGAATTCCTTAGTGCTGTATTTAAATTATGCAAAACTTTTAGAATTACGGTTATACAGAAGGGGGGGGGGGTTCCTTAATTAACCGCCACTAACACGGCGTTGTTTCTCACGAAGATTGAGTCGAGAAGTACCCCGAGCGAAGATGCCGAGACATCCGTAATTTACGAGGTAAAAGCGATTGGGAAGAGGGAAAGGTCCTTTCGCAAAACTTGAACGACCGAGTGAATAACAAAAATCTGTTTCCTTCGATTAATTTCAAGCGGACTTGACTTCAACGGAATTTCAACCCAGGGCTCGGCTATGAAGACACAATTATGTCGAGAGTTGGAGTGTCGCCGTAAATAATGAGCTCTCTCGACAAAGTCGGCTCGGGACTTGGCGATTCAGCTTCTCATGAGAAACAAATAGTATGTTTCTCTCGCGAGATTCGTTATTTTTATCGGTTGCAATTAAGAAAATTCGGATTTTTCGTTTTCACGATTTGCCCATCCTTCTTCCCCCCTCGCACGGGAAACACGGGCCATTAGAGGTCGGAGTAGAAATGATGGACGATTGGTTGCCTCTCCCATGCTTCTTTTCCGTTTCGCTTTTCTGTTCCACATTACGGGAGCCCGAGGCCGAATCGTGGGCGAGCGGACTGGGCAAGTGGCCGAGAACTTCGGTCGCGAGCGAGTCGCGGCCGCGAACAAGCGCGCTCGATGATTTACGAACGCGCGACGAGAGGATCCTTCGGGGATCGCGATAGAGTAGGAAGAGCCGAGCGTGCGAGACGAGCGATAGCGATAACGGGCGGGGCGGCGCGCACGTGGAACGGACAGGTCGTAAAAGAGCACGTGAGAGAGGCGCGCGAGCCCCCGTCTCTCGCTTCGTCTCCGCTCTCGCTCGCTCCCGTGTCGCGACATTAAGCTACCGGTAAACAGACACCCGATACCACCGCAGGACAAATAAACACTCGCGCGCGCGCGTTCGTAAACGTTAACCCGATATATGTCCGAGGTGCGCGTCGTAATCCGCCGCGGTCACATCATGCGCTTCACACACACATACACACACACGACGCAGCGAGATAACGGCGCCAACGAGACGCTGCATAAAAACGTGTGAACAAAAGTGCGAATTATTTGGTCTGTTTTTTTTTTTTTTTTTTTTTTTTTANGAATTCAAGAGATTCATGCATTTTGAAACGTACGTGCGAGATCCCTCATATCTCAGTGCGCGTAAATTTCTTAAACTAGTTAGCGGGCCAGTTCGGCTAAGATGGACGGACCAATTAACACGCACGAGGCGTAGTTGCTAAACGGCGGCGGCGTGACGATAAATCCGACGCGCTTTTCGTCCGACGCGCCTTCTCGAATAGCCCCCGCCTGTCATCGCCATTAAACGTTCACACGGCTGAGGTCTGTTCTTTCGGCTGAACTAGGTTGCGCTTCTTGCCTTTAGAGCGACGCGAGTAAAGCGGGGTCCACAATGAGAATTTAGGGCGTAAGATTTCAGAAATCGACCGAACGTAATTGATTTTTCTTCTATAACGGCCGACTGTGATTGGTCGATTTCTCAAGTCTCGCGCCTTGGATTCTCATTGTAGACCTCACTTGACCTAGCGATCCCTTCAACGTAGATTAGTATATGAAGTCGGCTATACAAGCAATTCTTGGTCTAAATATTGGCAGAAGGAGAAGAGGAAGAAGGAAGTTTCAGAATACAGAAGACCCCGTTAATTCTCCGATTCCTTCGGAAAAGTTACGCGCACTGCACACATAATACACGTCTGAGAAATGGCGGGAGGGAAGGGATTGACAAGATTCTAGAATAGAGTATAACTTTTCTACTTTAACGACTGGTGAGAGATTTGTGCATCGACGCTTGGCTGAACGCGACCCGGGATTTCGAAGCGCGTCCGCATTCGGGAAGGAAGGAAGCTGGTCCGTCTTGTCTTCGGCTCAGCGCGTAACTTTGATCCAATCGCGAGCGCGCGTTATTGTGGACGGGCAAGCGTCCAGAAAACGAGGAAGTGTAAGGAGTAACGGGGATTGCAAACCGTCGACGGTTTTAGGAGACCAGTTACGATCGAGCGACATCCGCGTCTTTTACGACACGCGCTGTTCTCCTGACAAGTTATGATAGTCGTGCGTCGTTTCGGATCCTCTCTCTCTCCCTCTCTCTCTCTCTCTCTCTTCTCATCGAGGGAACGGGTAGAATCTCACGAGGTCCATCCGGCACTCAGTATTCCTTTTAACACGTATCTGACTCGACGTCGAGTGTCTCGGGGGACGAAGTTGAATCCTTGAACGAAATTTCAGAAAGTCCGGCGTGTTGAGAAAGTCCAAGTCTAAAAATCCGTCGAAGAGTCCGTCGTTAATATTAAGAGATTCCAGGTCCTAGGCTATATATATCGAAGTAGCGTGATATCTCATCGTTACGAGAGAGAAATTCCCGAGAGACTTCCCGAGCGGAAAGATCCGCTTTGCACACGTCGAGTTTCCCCCCTGAGCGCACGACACCTTTGAGAAACACTGTTCGCGCAATCCGCCGGGAGATTTCGCGGATTAACGGTAACGCTTGGAACGAGAAAGAAAGAGAGAGAAAGAGAGAGAAAAAGAGAGAAAGAGAGAGAGAGCACGTTTGGCCGTTCTCCAATCGCGATTCGTGTGCCAGCCAGCCGACGACCAGTTTCCGGCGAGCTCGCCTCCTGAAATCGCCGTCATTTGGCACGGTGTAGCCGCGGCGGCTCGCAAATGTCGCTTCTTCCGCCTCCCGGGGGCCGTCGCGGGCGAGAATCCCGGAATCGCGCTGCTTAATCTCACTGAGAGAATCTCCGTCACATCGTCTCGAAGGGCCCGCTCGACGCTTCTTCTCGACGAACGAATGTCATTTTTATCTCGGTGTTCTCTCGACGCCCAATCGACGCGATCGGCCTTGAAAATTTCACCGTCAGACACGGTGCGTAGCTTCCCACGGCGAAGAGCTGCGCGATCGTCGAGTCGCTCGACCCACCTTGCAGGCAACGAGCGACGCAGGTGGACGCGCGGATTCGCGATTGTTCGTGTAGAACCGTGTGATATCGGCAGAAGAGAAAGAGAGAGAGAGAGAGAAATGCACAAACGGTCGGCGACCGACGCGTCTTCGGAAGCTCGACGACGACGATGATTTTCCGGTCGAAACGCGCAAATCGAGTCCCACGTG